CTGGGCAGTAAGAAGCTCATTTTGCACCACGTCATGATTGTGTTTCAGCTTCTGATAAAGGAGGGTCCTTGAAAATAAACACATAGTTGTAGTGGAGACCTGAAGAGAAACAGAAGGCAAAAGAATGTCAGAAACTTATGGAAGGAAGGGAGAAAGGGGAGAGAACAAACCCTTACCTGAGCTCAACCTTCTAGGAAAGAGTTAAGGATCCCCTTAGTTCCCAAGGCATTAATCCCATTCACATCGTTGATGAACAGAAACTTCCCAAGCCGATCCCTGATGACCTATGCGTTACCCAACATAGAGTTAATCTGAGAAGGTGCCCTAGAAGAAGTCCCCACATGAGGAATGGATGAATGGGGGGTAGAAGGTGTGGCCAACAAACGAGAATCTAGACGAGATTCTGGGGCAGGAGGTACAGCTATAGAAGCCTCTGACCAAGGAGGCACCTCTGAATTGGTCACTTGATGGGAGGGCGCTCGAGATGCCAGTGGAGGGGTTAACTGAGGAGAGCTCATCTCGGGCAGCATAGTTGGAGAGGCCACCTAGGAGGCATCCTCCATCCTAGCCATCTTAGAAGGAGGAGGACTCCTACTAGAAAGGCGGGACTCAATCATCTCCCTATCTACTGCTCCAAAGAAAATAAAGTGTCACCAAGATAAAAATAAAAACACCAAGTGGAGGAGAAAAATACAGAAGAATCAGCATACCTTTCCTTTTCAAGTAGGGACGGCTAGACCGTGGAGGGGACCACTGGCATCTAAGGAAAAGGAACCAATAATTCCTCCACCCCTAGGCATAAGAGCTTCAAAGTCCTTTGTGGACTAAGACCTCACAGCTTGTAGCTTCCACTCTTGATCTTTGGAGAGCACAGGAGCACCTGCAAGGAATATAGTGAGTACACAGCCTACAAAGAATGTGGTAAGAAAGTAGTAAGAATGTAGGGCGTACCAACTTTCTTTGGAGCATTCCATCGTGTTGGTGCCAACTCCTTATTGGCATCTGAAGCCCACTCTCCACCGACGAATATGAAATGAGACTTCCAACCATGACATTTGGAGGGCAGACTGGTAATCAACTTGCCTCCCCTTGTGGTAAAATAACACCAGCCTCGATTAGGAGCAGGAGTCTCACTCGGGTAATAAGCTGCATGAAATTCCTCAGGAGAGGCATCCTCATGGTGCACCCTCTTCCATAATGCTAAGAAACTCAACAACACTCGCCAACCGTTGGGCACCAACCGCCTAGGTGTCAGGGAAAAATTGTTCAGGATGCCACAAACGGGAGAAGGCATTAGGAGCCTGAGCCTAGCCTCAAGCACCTCCTCATAAATAGCAATATCACCAAAGGATTCATTGCAAGCAGGCTCATCCATCTCGGCTTGACGACATAGTACAGTCGGAGGAATATGATAGGTGGAGACAATTCGTAAAATATCAGCGTCAGAATTTAAAGTGCTAGAGATAGTACTTACTTTGGACCCATCATTATCGACATCTACCCTGCCTCAATGCTTTTTGACTCGAGGGCAAAAAGCTCTATCTGAGCCAAAAAGGTTTCTAGGAGAATGATTTTGAGAAGCTACGCTTGGAAAAACTCGAACAGGCTGCTCGCCCAAGCTGTCCAGTGCAGCAAGCTACTCGCGCAGGCCGCCCAGTCTACTCAACGCAGCAGCCTACTCGCCCAGGCTACCCAGCGCAGTAGCCTGCTCGCCCAGGCTACTCAACGCAGTAGGCTGTTCGCCCAAGCTGCCCAGCTGCTTGCCTAGTCTGCTCAGCACAACAGGCCGTTTGCCTAGGTTGCCCAACTACTCGCCCAGTCTACTCAGCACAACAAGCTGCTCGCCCAAAACAGCCTACTCAGCACCGAAAACGAGTTCAACGCCCAGAACTTCCACTGCACGCACAACAGGTGCGAGCCCAGCGGAGGTGTCCCATGGCTGCTCCACCTCCCTCCAACCTTTTGCCTTCATCTCCCCTCCAAGGACAACGCCAACTTTTTTGAGTTCCTTACCGAGATTTGTAGAACTTCGAACATCCTCACCACTAGCTGCCATTGGAAGTCTCACCAATGGGTTCTTGAAAGACCTCAAGAAAAATCTCTCCTTCTCTCTCAAGAATGAATGAAATGGGTGGAATGAAAAAGAAAGTTACTATTAATAACCTAGGGTTTCAACATCTCCAAGGAAAAACAAAAAAGCCAAAAGCCCCAAATTACAACTAGGGCTTTCTAAAAATCCAAAAAGGAAGGAGAAAGGGAGTTTATATAGGCAACGGGTCCCTACAAGCAAAAGGAATCTATTGGAAGGGATGGGGTTGCCAATCAAGAGAATTTTTTGAAAAATTCAGATTTTAAGAGGTGTGTACGCTATTTTGACCGTAACTTTTGATCCGTAACTCCAAATAGGGCCCATAATATGTCAAATCGAAGTTCTTGAAGAGCTCTACAAAATTCACCGCCTTTGGATGTGAATGGTGCTAAAAAAAGGCCTAGAAGTATATGTTTTGGCCTCCCGAAATTTTTCCAACTTTGTCGTTCGGTCAAAAATTCAAACTCGATTGAATGCCCTCCTTTCTCAGTTCCTTAAATGCAGGACATTGGGGGGAAAATGATGGGCCAAGCCCAAGGGTCCAACTCATGTTATAAGCTTGGTCCGAGTTTTAAGGCCCAACTTCAAGAGGTCCACCAAATTCAGCCCAATGTGGTCGGTCTAGTCAAACTCATCAAGCTCAAGGAGTTACGTCAACAAGGAGCATGCAAGGTCATCTGGGAGTCTCCTCTACACCACCAAGAGAGAGTCTAGGAGCCTCACCCCCATTGCTTGGAGAGCATCATAAACTTCCTTGTTGTTGAGGAGAGCAGACGTCGCCAAGCTATTTAATTACTATTAAAGTCATACCAACCCATTATAACTATTAAACGGCCCCAACCCCGTTATGACCGTCCAACTTGCTAGGCAATTACTAAACTAAGCCACTATAAATTGTAAGCCCACCAACACTTGGGAGGCATCTCACTCATTTGAGCATAACTCTCTCCTCCTCCCTCAAATATTGTAACATTCTGCTCTCCTTCCATACCGGAGATAATAAAATACCGGCAACCCTTGCTATATTCAAAGTGGACATAGGTCATATTGATCGAACCACTATAAATCTTGTCTTCTCTCTCCCTCTACTTTACTGCATTTTATATTACTTAATTGACAGGTGGTGTGTAAACCAATTTTGTGCATCATCAATTATGATGAGTTTTTTAAAGATGACTATGACCTACGAAATCTTGAGATTCTGCAACTAATGTTTAGTTTTGGTGATCAATTTGGATAAGTAGTTCACCACTAAAAATAGTAATTTTTTGTTGGGAGTGAAGCCCTCTGAGTCTATTTTCATCTCCCACGGTTTTTGTGGGAGTTGGATTTAAAGAACCTAAGTTACAAGGGTTTTATCCATGAAGGTTACTTATAGAATGTATAAAATACTGCACAAGTAGGGTTTGAATGATGTACACCTATGTTAAGTTGGAAAGAAACTCTATAAGTGAAATTAATTATGATTGTGATAGATATAATTAAGAGACGGAAAGAGAAAAAGAAAGTGAGGGAAAAGGAAGACAAATTTTTTATTTTTATTTGGTGCAGGCTTGAATCTTCACTTGGCGAGCTTTGCATGCTTAGTGCTCAGAGTTTGATTTGTAGTAGGTTACTCCAATTGTGCAATGAACTTGGATTTTTTTAACTATTTTTAATATTCAACTTATTTTATAAATCATGTTCTAAATGTTCTATTTGTATGTAATTGGGTTGAATATTGTTTGATGAAATCGAATTTGGATTCTGTTTTATGGAATTGATTTGTTGATGAACTAATGAATTGCTTTGTGTACAATGAAGTCCAATATCCTTTTTATGAAAAGTATGTGCACACAAGATTGAACCATAAAGGGTTTTTTCCTTTACAGGTTGAGACCGTAGAGGGTTTCTTTGAATTTGTAAGTGCCTAAGTGCTCCAGTGGTCTTTGAACTTAGGTACCAAATTTGAATTGAGGGAGCATTTCTTCCTTGATATAAAAATCCTCTGAAAGGTTTGTTGGATCGTATGATAGGATGCAAACCCTGAGTCTCATTACGCTGATTTAAATCTCCGGTGTGGCACACTAAGCATCTGTTTCGAATCATAACTCTATTTGTTATACTTGACTGTTTTCTAAAAAATTTAAGTATCCAATGAATGTGGTTTAAGTCCTGATCACTGCTAAGTATGTTATTTTCAAACCTTGTCCTTTTCAGAACTAGTTAACCTCCTGAGCATATAGTCGCTCATCTGATAATATTTACATTTTTTTCAGAGTAATTTAGGGATCTATGAAAGTGGACCGGTGCCAAGGTTAGAGCAGGCTTGCATATGATATAATGTTTCGAAAGTTTAGTTTGTCATTGTAAATGTTTTGTACTAGTAATATTTATTACTTTTGGAATTGGATTTATGGATTTTGAGGTTATTAACATTCTAATTATTATGGAGTTGGTTCAGGCCGTGACATATGTACTATTAGGAATGGCCAAATTTTCAATGGAAATCATCAAGTCTCATCAAAATTTCAATTGCATCTCTCAAGAGATCAGATTGAATCCTATATACTATCCATATTTCATCACTGCTTCAAAACCAGTTCCTTTTAGAGGTTGGAACGACTCATGACTCCAAATTATTCGAAGTTGGAAGCATTGCAAAATGGCCGCATATTCTCCGAACTCTGCCAAGCTTTGGCCACTCAACCATGCATGTAACAATTTTTCACATCCTGCAATAGTTATCCATTACTAGAACAATATCCGTTCTTGATAAAAATCTAATGCCTGGATGATCTTCTCTATCAGCAACTTTCGGTGCAACCTATACCTGCAGATATGCATATATTGCCATGAAGAAAATTAAATCTTATGTCTCATCAACTTAAGGAGCATTGCAAACTAGTAAGATGATTAGAGGGCTACTTACTTGATTGCGGCTACGAGTGTTCTCCTTGCTTCAGGCTTAGAATCTGTTGGAAAATGAAACAAGAAAATGATCAGAGAACCAAATTTAAATTTTAAACTGTTAACTCGTCCACTTGAGTACCAACTGGCAATTATTAAATTGGCCCACTAAGCTATGCTTGTTTGAGAGATCTTACACTACCGACCTTAACACCCTCCCCTGTGTGTACCCCAACTTAAGTGCAGCAACACAAAATTACAACATAATTGACTAACTACACAAACAAAATACACTATACGACTACATGTGAACAAATGATTGAGATTGGACCAACTTCGGAAACCCAGCTTTCATGCCATGTCAAAGCAACCCACACAACCAATTGATAAATAGTGGAAGGGCCCACTAGACGTCTTACACCACTGATGTGGTAACCGTTAAGATTCACAAGTAGTTCAATTTTGGGAAGGTCTATCTTAACATAATTACAGCCAAGTCCAACAAAAGGAGGAATGTATAACATCAATAACACCATATAAGTTATGGTTTAACCATTGAAAGCGGATAGCAAAGAACAAAAGATACAAACTAATAATTCCATATTCTTTGTCTATAATTACTGAACCTACCCAATATTGACCAAGTTTTATTAAGTTTGTCAAATGACTTGAAGTTAAATCAAGTCGGAGTTTTTTGGTAACATAAATCAACATTTAATCAATTGTTATCAAGTGTTAGAACCGAGTTCAAGCACAAAGAGTCAATTACGAATCAAAGAAAAATAGGAATATGCTTGTTCATCCCAAAATGAAAGACCAATGATACCAACTCTTTTGTGAAAATAACAAAATTTTGAGGCATTAAGTCTCAGAAAAGAAAGAAAGCAGGGCTTTCTTCATATTCTCATTTGTATTCTATTCAGGACTGAAGATCTCACAAAAACAAAGTTACCTAGGATTCGTTGATCTTGCTCAGAAGTTGTAGGGAATTCAGCAAGCTTCTGTTGGCATTCTTCCTGCAACTCCTTCACGGCCTTTCTTTCTGTGCTTGGGATTGGAGGGACATCCCCATTGGACCAAGTGGGTAATGTTCTTGCAGCTGCTATGACTGCTCCATCAACAAAACTATCTCCATCATTTGATAGCTGACCTGCTACAAGTTTAATATGTGGATCTTAGTCATATAAAAGGCAGATCTGAGATGCTAATATATGTCACTTATAGACAAACTTGTAGAGAACATTTATATGACCCATACTGTTATGATAGTACTCCTCAGGAAGGCCAGAAATGTTGAAAACTGACAAGAAGGAATCCAAATGAATTCGTGCATTTCCAGAGAACTGGATGACATCCCAAGGATTCTGCAATAATATCGCATATGCCAAAATGTCAGCTAATTCAACAAAATATTACTAACATGTACAAGGGTAAATTAAAAATTCCAACAACAATCAAATTTTTTGCCAGATTTCTTCAGCCAGACACACCTGGATACCAAGTAGAGACAAAATTTAGAATAGGATAAGCATTAGAATGCCAAATGATTATGTTATCTTTCCTTCACTTTTCTGATATGGAAATAAGGTGCACCATCTTCGGAAAAATAAAGGGTTCCAAAGGCAGATGCTGGATCCCAACCAAATGATTTTAGTTGTCTGATACCAAAAAACTAGCTTATACTCGTATTGGTTGACAATTCTGATTTGACTTGGTCATGGGTCCTCTTTTTCATGCACCTTTGATGTAGACAATCAGGATTATGACCTAACTCCCAGCGGAGGAAATTATATGATAAGAACATTGAAACGAAAACTTATATTTATTATGTAACTTCACATTCCTAATGTTTGAGTGGTAGCTGAAGAACTTAAGTCGGGTAACTCTGCATGTGTCGTGCACTGTGCATCTATTTACTTAGTTTGGAGCGAACTCCAACAATTAAAAAGAGACTTCTAAGCATAGCTCCAGAGGGCAAGCCTGCACCCCAACTAAAGATCAAATGTAATACCTACCAAAGGTCAAAATATCAGAGAAAAAACAAAAGTTTGAAAGGGACGTTCAGAACTCTGTATCAGTACACATAACACAGCCAACTGCCAACAACAAGTCCTGATAAACACATATATGCTCTGCATATGTTGCAGCATTATAGGAGCTAAAGCCAGCCAACCTCAATAGAACTAGGATTTCATTCCAAAGCATATGCATACAGCAGCACCTACCAGCATCCCCACACTCTGCAGTACCAATGACAGCAGCTTAATGGGAATCTTTGTGTAGGAATCTATGTTCATTTGCAGCCATCTGTTTAAAATACGGTTTTTAATATAGTTGATAACCCAACACGAACTGAATCAAAATAATGCTTTTAACAGCCAACCTTGTAATTGTTGCTAACATCTCTGTTAAACCTTTCACTATGTGTGTATCAACAATATCAGCCAAGGTCAGCTTCCCAAGCAATTTTTCAAGAGTCTTCTGTTTGAATGGACAAGAAGCCCATTCCTTGAGGAATGTGCAGTCCAAATGATGCCATTACAGTCCCAATTCTGCATAAAGTAGCTCCAAATCCTTTTACAGCTGCATCCAAGTATATGTGGTCATGGCTTTCAGAAAGAGGGACTAGGAGCAATCATTCTTGTTGGAGCATCCAACCCAAAACCAATTGGTAATGACTAGAGAGGCCGTTAAGCATATAAACCAACATTGGTTAGTCCTAATCATTTGGTGAGGGATACAAGCTCCATTTACACCCTTCTTCATTTTGTACCCGGGCTCGCACGGAAGAATAACAAAAAAACGGATAAACATGCAAACCAAAAAACTTAAATGGTTAAGAGACTTACTTACAGACCACCAACGCTCTAACACTGTATTAGAGTATCCAACCCAAAACCAATTGGCAATATATGGAGGCCTCTTAAATACACTAACCAACCTTGTGTAATTCTAATCATTTGACGTGGAATACAAACTCTCTTTACAAGTCTATCATGTGCATTATGCTTACTTTTTCAGAATGATATGTCCTAGATCTGAGATGTGGTGGAATGGAAATGAAGTTTTACAACTAGCACTTTGCCAATAGGCAGGCTTGATCCTAAAGGATTCAAACTCCTATTTTGGTCATGATATATCCAATGGGCCTTGAGCAATGAATTTAATATCGTCAAATTTGGGTTGTATGCATATATTTTACATATAATTTGCGCCAAATTCATTCATGCATTTGACCTAAGTTTGTGAACTCAACATTTCCATAAATAAGTATTGGGCAAAATTTGTGTAATACAAGTTCAAATAAAATGTGTATGTCTTAACTTTTAGACAAATTTTGTGTTCGTGTTGTACCATATTTGTGTCCTATGTCTATTTTTATCCTTCCTAGGCAGTTGTTTGTCCAATACTTTTCTCAGAGCACAAAGCAATGGCTTATAAAAACCCTTCTTTTCTTGGTGTAGGAATATAGTTGTACAACATCACTAAATGAGTAGGGGGAGTTAACATAGCCCACCAATGTAAGTTAATTTAAATTTTTTGGTAAGTTTAGTATTATTGTTTCATTTTTTTTTTTATTTTTTTTTTTATTTTTTTTTGTTCCCCTTCCTTCTATTTCATCTTTGATGGAATTAGGTATCAAAGATTTTTTGGTATTACCTCCCATCAATTTTTCTGGTGCACTAATAAGTGAAGTAGAATGGGAAGAGGCAAATAAGAAAGAATAAGAGATACCAAACCCTCGCAGGGACTAGGTCAAGAAACACAAATTCTCCACAAAGAGCAAACTTCAATAATATCATTCTCTAATCCAAATAGTAGTGATGACATCAATAAGTTAAGAAATAAATACTACAATACTATGTTAGAAGTGAAGAAGATAAAGAGAAAGGAAAAGAATTAGAGAAGATAAGCTATGTGTGTAAACTATGTTATCCTACACCATCTTATTTATACTAAACTGATATTATAAGAATTGCAATACTACCCTTCACTACTCAAAATATAAAATAAGAAATCTAACACTCCCTTCAAGTTGGAACATAACGATCAAAGATGTTCAACTTGGAATAAAGGTTATTAAAGACATATTGAGCTAATAGTTTGGTAAGGATGTCACCCAGCTGATCACTAAACTTGATGTATTGTGTGATAATATCCATACACATCAAGAGATTTTGGATAAAATGGCATCCATTTCGATGTGTTTGATCAATTCATGAAATACTAGATTATTAACCACTAAAAAAGTCATAGGCATATTGATACTCACATCATGAACTTGAGAACGAACCCATAACATTTCACATGCAGTATGAGCCATAGCCTAGTATTCAGACTCTACACTTGAACAATCAACTACATTTTGTTTCTTGCTAAGCCAAGTAACAAGATTATCACCAATAGAAAGACAACAACCTGAGGTAGATCGTCTAACAATACGACTACCTACCAAGTCAGTGTCAGATAAGCCACTAACAATCATAGATGATGAAGGAAGATATAATAATCCTTTCTTCGGTGCTCCTTTCAAATACTAAAGAATATGACAAACAACCTCCGAATGAGACTTACAAGAGCGTGCATGCCGGATGGAATTGTGAGTAGGCACGGCTCCCTCAAATTTTAAAAATTCTCATTCTCCCCCCTATGTTTTCAAAAAGTTTTATTGTTAACCTCTAATTTTTCAATACACCCAATATTTAAGTATCTCATTTATTATATTAAAAAAGATCAATGACTTATTATTTACTAACTATTTAGAATGCAATCACATGGATGAGTGTTTGATGTAGAACGGGAAAGACTAGAAATCACAGAATAGAAAGAGTCTCGGTGAAGAAATACATAAATTCTCCACGGAGAATTACTTTTTATTATATCACTCTCTCTCTAATTAAAATAGTTAGGATTACACCATTATTTATAGGTCAAGTTCCCTACCAAAATAAAAACTATTTTCCAACTAAAATTCTAAAAAAGTTTTATAATCAAACTCTAAAATCCCTATTCTACTAAACTCAATAACAATTTCCTAGTAAAACTCTAATTAATACTCCTAGTCAAAAAATATTTCCTAACTAACAAAATAATACTAAAACAAATAATAAAATTCAATTCTTCAATTTAAGCTCATCCAATCCCATTTCGATCTCTATCAATTCTCCCCGGCTAAAAAAAACTCTTCTCCGAAGAGTTGTAGCAAGAATACTCCAAAAAAATTGACATCAGGCAGTGAAACACATCTTCAAACCTGATCGCATAGAAGTAAGATTTTCCTTCAATGACATAATATAGGATATCACAATGGGAGGAACCTATATCTCGAATCTTCATAACCTTCACACTTTGTTCCAAATAAAAGGACAGTGAAGATATTGCTGAAAAAGTATCAACCCCATCTAAAAAATTACGCTTGAAACTTGTTTTTCATCTATAGGAACACCTTTTGCAATCGGCTTGTCGAAAGCAATTGTTGTTTAATGAGGAGAACCTTTAAGCTCATCAATGATATCTGATTTCAGCTCATCATTCAATTGAATTGTGGAGGAACTTCTTGGGGCAAAGCTTGTTCAACTATTTGTTGATGATCAATGGATGAATAAGATGAATCAAAATCTACCTTGTTCACAAGATTCTTATTTAGGAGCTTAACTCCAAACATGACAACAAACTTGTGTACACTTTCATGTATATATTCCAATGATGTGTAGAGTGAATCCATTGATGCTTGGAGCGAATCGAGCTTAGCATCACAGACTTCAAGTTTGACAAGTAATTCGAAATTGGTAACCATCTCAATTGAAGAAGTAACATGAAAAGTTGTAGAAAATCTTAGGATCAATTTATAATTTCTCAGAATTTTGGGGTTGGTCTATAATTTTTTGAAAATTCTTGGGCCAAACTGTAATTTTAAAAACTTTAGGAGCAAAACTATAATTTCTAAACTTTGGGGACCCAAAGTAAAATTTCTAAAACTTTTGGGGATGAAAGTGTAATTTCAAAAATTTTAGGGGGCAAATCTATAATTTCATAAATCCCAGGGTTACACGGCTGGATTTTTTTGGCAGGGCAGCAAGATGGGTTTTTAGACCTAGAACAAAGGGCTGAAACACAAGATGTCAAACAAATCTCAAAAACACAACGAAAATCTAGAATGATCGAAGTTGAACTCTGATACCAAACTGATGTAGAACGAGAAGGACTAAAAACCACATAATAGAAAGAGAAGAAGAAAGAAGAAGGGGTGGAAGGAGTTTATCTCATCCTCGCAATGAATCGGTGAAAAAACACATAAATTTTCCACAGAGAATCACTTTTTATTATATCACTCTCTCTAATTAAAATAGTTGGGATTATACCATTATTTATAGACCAAGTTTCCTATCAAAATAAAAACTATTCACCAACTAAAATTTTAAAAGAGTTTCATAATCAAACTCTAAAATTCCTATCCTACTAAAACTCAATAATAATTTCCTAATTAAACTCTAATTAATACTCCTAGTCAAATAAATATTTCCTAACTAACAAAATAATACTAAAACAAATAATAAAATTCAATTCTTCAATTTAAACTCATCCAATCCCTTTTCGATCTCTATCAATGTCTTTTGTACTCACAAAGACACTTGTTGGATTACTTGATGACCATAGACAAAAATTCTTTTTTTTTTTTTTAATAAAATAGAGATACAAATATGATTTATATCAAAAATACTTCATTGACTTATAATTCATTTTTGTTATGGTATCATATGAAATTATTATTTGCAAAAATAATTTATTTCTAGACATAAGGTTAGATTATAAATAAGAAAAAAAGAGTACGATAATGTTATCACAAATGAATTTTTATGATGGCATGATCCAATTTTTGAGTTTTGTGCTCAAAATTAATTTTTTCGATGGCATCGCATAAAAATTAAATTTAATAGGTCTTTTATATCTAATCAAAAAAAAAAAATAGGTTCTTTATAAATAAAAATTTATAATTAATGATGACCGTTGTATAAACTTATTGCATTAAATTTTTGTCTATATCATTGTTGGCCCCTTCAAGATAAAATCCTAATTTCGTCCCTGTGTGCATGAATTGACTAACCACAACCAGGACAACTGTAAGATAAATCAGCTTACCAACAAACCTCCTATAGCGCCCTACATCATCAAAAACTTCACCACTCTCAGCATCTCATTTAACTGTAGAGTCCATAAGAGTATCAACAAGACGTGCACCTAGCGTACCAGTCCTAGATAATAAATCCAATGCGTACTTCCGTTGGCATAAACTGATACCTTCTTTTAAACGAGCAACCTCAATTCCTAAAAAGTAACGAAGAATACCTAAATCTTTGGTATGAAATTACTTTCCCAAAATGGACCTTGAAGTGGGCAATACCATTTGAACCATTTCCACTAATAATATTTCCATCAATATACACAATAAGAATAATAACACCAGTGGAAGAATGACGCTCTAATTTTGTCCATCCTAACCATTCACATTATATAATATATTTATATTTATTATATCATATTTGATACATGAGACCCATTTAACATAAAAAAGGACCCAAAAAA